TCGTTGAGGACATCAGGAACCTACGGTGATGGTCGATTTGTAACATGTTACAGGCTCATTGAGACTCAGGATAACCAATAATACCCATCTAGTCTTTATCACCGTAGGTTTACGCGCTCCTATCGGTCCTATAACTGGCGTCATAGTCGCATAAATGGAGAAAAAATTTCATCTACACTCTTGTCGTACACTCAGCTATATACAGTCGTGGACAAAAGTCCCGCTACCAGACAAGAACCATTGAAACAAGGGTTGTTTGTCATGACACTTCTGCCATAAGAAGAACTTAATGAGTCCTGATCGCAGGCAAAAGCTTGAACGTGAAACCTTTACCCAGACTGAAATCTGAGACTAAGATCAATGATATTTTCCTATTGTATTATTTCGAGCTAGGAAGAAGATATAACGTTGTTTGATCCACCGTTGGAAAGCCTGGCTCTTCGTCTCTCTACAGTAAACTTTTCATGATGAATGGACATGCTTTTGTTAAGTTATGAATTAATATCTGTCTACCCATGGAACTAACGTATCACAACCTCACCAGTTTCTGATTCGAATCTCGAGCTAGGCTCAATGTTTTCACTTGAAAATTGTATCACAAACTGCTTACCTATGCCCTAGCCTGTGCTGAAATTTTCAGAACTAAAGCTACTACAGAAGTGCAGATTCATATCATTTTCTACCTCAAGACCGAGAGCCCTAGGAAATCACTATAGTGTAGCGCAATAAACTGTTCTTTATAGCATGAGTAAGTCATCGTCAGAACTACCCATTGCACTAAAACTATCATCCTGATTTCACCAAATCGAAGAAAACCAGCACAATCTTTACGTATCACTATTTTTGGCTTATAATCACATAGAACTGACCAGCTTAAATTTTAGAAAATTTTTTGTTTTTCATTGTTTTCCCAGTTAATATGTTTTAATTTTAAGCCGAAAACAGTGATACGTAAAGATTGCACTGGTTTTCTTCGATTTGGTGAAATCAGGATGATATTTTTAGTGCAATGGGTAGTTCTGACGATGACTTACTCATGCTATAAAGAACAGTTTGTTGTGCTACACTATAGTGATTTCCTAGGGCTCTCGGTTTTGAGGTAGAGAATGATATGAATCTCCACTTCTGTAGTAGCTTTAGTTCTGAAAATTTCAGCAGAGGCTAGGGCATAGGAAAGCAGTTTGTGATACAATTTTCAAGTGAAAACATTGAGCCTAGCTCGAGATTCGAATCAAAAACTGGTGAGGTTGTGATACGTTAGTTCCATGGGTAGACAGATATTAATTCATAACTTAACAAAAAGCAGGTCCATTCATCATGAAAAGTTTACTGTAGAGAGACGAAGAGCCAGGCTTTCCAATAGTGGGTCAAACAACGTGATATCTTCTTCCTAGCTCGAAATAATACAATAGGAAAATATCATTGATCTTAGTCTCAGATTTCAGCCTGGGTAAAGGTTTCGCGCTCAAGCTTTTGCTTGCGATCAGGACTCATTAAGTTCTTCTTATGGCAGAAGTGTCATGACAAACAACCCTTGTTTCAATGGTTCTTGTCTGATAGCGGGACTTTTGTCCACGACTGTAGTTATGATCGTTACCGTGAAGCCTAAATATACCAGTTTGGAAACCGAGAACCTACGGTGATGGTCGGTTTCTTACATTTTACAGGCTCATTGGAACTCAGGGTAACCAATAATGCCCATCTAATCATCATCATCGTAGGTTTTCGAGACCCTACCGGCCCTATAACTGGCTTCAGAGCACACATATGGAGAAAAATTTTCAACTGCAGTCTTGTCTTGTACTCAGCTATATAGTTATGATCGTTACCGTGAAGCCTAAATATACCGGTTTGGAGACCACGAACCTGTGGGGGTGTGCGGTTTCTTACATTTTACAGGCTCATTGGAACTGAGGGTAACTAATAATGCCTATCTAATCATGATCACCATAGGTTTTCGTGGCCCTACTGATTTTATAACTGGCTTCCTAGTCACACTCCTCTGACATAAAACTTTTTATCTGCCGTATCGTCTTGCACTTACTTATATTGTTTTGCCCATCACCATGAACCTTGAAAATAGTGGTGACGATAATGGCAACCTACGGTAATGACGGGCTTATAGAATTTTACGGGCTAGTAGAGGCTCAAGATAATCGGTGGCGTCTGTTTAGCAGTCGTCTTTGTAGGTTTTCATTTTGCCACCGGCGATGCTGTGAGCCGGATCATTATATTCGTGTCCAAAAGTGGGGTTCCTATACGATCACACTTAGAAATCAAGGAAACGGCTTCCATCTTCAGGGTTAGGCAAGTATGACCGATTAGAGTACCAAGAACTTACTGAGATGGTGAAGTTCGGCCATTATTCAGAAATCTGCATGATTTTATCAGTCACTGATGGTGTTACACTAGTCATTACCATAGGTTTTCATGATTCAACTGGCTCTTTTGATAGCCGAATTACTGTAATCATGTATGAAAGAAGTCTTTCATTTGTCATATCGTCATCTACTGAGGAATATAGTTTCGACTATCATCGTTAAGATCAATACTGTGAACTTAGCATCATGAATGCCTACGGTTATGACCGGTTTTCACTATTACTCAGACAATACAAGGCTCGATGCATCCGTTGATACCAATACACCGGTCTTCGCCATAGATTTCTATATCCTTATGGGTTTTGCCCTCCGCCATATCCAGAATTTCCGATGAGCGTTTGCAAAAATCACTTTATTAGGACAAGAGATCACTTCTTATCAGAAAATTAAGTGCTCGAGTTTACGGAATCTGCTGCGTGGCACAGACAGAGGAATACAAAAAAAACTGACCGGTGCACCGGTGCCACTGTACACCAGTCCATTGGTTCACCGTACTAACCGGTGAACCGGTAGACGGTGTCACCGGTATTCTGGTGGATCCGCGGACGGTGAATCGTCACCGGTGCATCCCTACCCACATCCTAGTTCTAGAAAGCATACGGATTTTTAGTAGAATTTTCAAAGAGTATGCTGCGTTTTCACGTAAAGGCTGCGAACTTATTTTTTTACATAGCCTCTGAGAAAAGTGACTATAGTATCTTGTCTTGGGTTCGTGCGAATGTAACTGCAGTAGTGTAGTTCTACCGATTTCTGTTGAGTATCAATGGGTGGGTATCAATTTGATTAGATGGATTTATGACAAAAATCAGCCCATGGAGACGCATACCATTATGCAGAACGAGATTGACGCTGATGTTAATGTATACATACTTATCTAACCGTGGAAACTTTGGATACTAGCTTTGCTGAAGACTGTAAGGCAGCACGCAACACCGAAAGAGCCGAATATATAATCCAGGGTCAAGCGAGTCACAAGGACGAGCGTTACTTCTTTTTAGCTACCATTATGTTGATGAACGTAACTAAAAAGAGAAAGATCCATGACTATGGGTCAACTGATCCAATGATTATCACACCTATGTTCGGACAACTTTTCTCTACAGAATAAAATTAAGCCAGTGCTGGTGCAGTGACGGACGAAATTCAAATTTCTTGTCATTCCATACAAGAACTTATGTATCGTTAAAATTTTGATGGTTTGAAAAGGCCGCCTAGGCTTCAGACAGTATATACCATCCAAGCGATATCGTTTCGGTATAAAACTATTTGTCATCTGTGATTTCACAACAAGAATAGTTCTCGGTTTCATCGCATACACTGGATCGTCCACTGAATTCAGTTATGTCGAACACCGGGGAGTATCTGGTTCTATGTTTATGACTATAATGAATCCTTATTTGAGCAAAGGACACACACTGTTTCTTGATCACTGGTATAGTAGTCCTCTTTTAGTTGAAGAATTGTATGCACTGAAAACCGATGCGTGTGGAACACTGCGCGAAAAGCGTATTGGACTGACTAAGTTTCACAAGCTGACGAAAGAAATTTTCGATTATCGGAACACTGATAACCCATTAGTTTTGGCTTGGTAGGACAAGCGAGAAATAACTACGTTACCTAGAATACACAAACTAAAGATGGCTCCGACAAAGAAACTTCACTGGAACATTAATCGAAAAGTACTCTAAACCAAACAGTCGCAGAGGTCGTCCAACTACAGGAGACAATCTCAAACGGCTCACTGCTCGCCACTTTCCATCCATTGTACCAGGAACATCAACAAAAGAGGCTGCATAGGGAACGTGAAAGAAAGCGTACGTCTACACGTTATCAGTGTGATATTTGCGATGTGGAACATTTTATTATTGGTTGTTTTGAAGAATAGCATACTCTGAAATATGTCTGAATATTTGCGTATTACAATAAAACATATTCGAGACTTTTCTGATTGATTGACATATATTGAGCCTTCTTGATTAGATTTTCGTCTATCTTAGTAAAAGAAGAACTTGACATTTCTGAATAAAAACTAGTATTCTTTTGAGAGAATCTATTTGTATGACATTAGTCGATATGAAGATTAATATATTATTTAAATCGATTTCATTGTGAGTTTACTTTTGATTAAGTAAAAACGAACATATGTCCTTAATATTCTATTATTTAGTTAAATGTAAATGCTTATTGAAGCATACTATTTAATTAGACAATTAAAATATTTCCAATAAATTTATTTATTATGATAAGCTATATTATTTTGTTTCTCTTACTATACTTATCAAAATATCTTTTATCGATATGTGAAAAAAACTTTTTTCTTTTCCTTTTTTCAAAAAAAAAAAAACCAAAAGTTTTTCTTTTCGATTAAAACAAAAGAAGAAAAACTTGAAATAAGATTGATATGCAATAAAGACACAATGATAAGCAACACACAGAAAAAAAGATGTGTCGACCGGTTAGACAATATTTAGAGAAAAAAAAACAAAAGAAAACGGTTACATACTTATAGAAATAAATAGACGCGTTATTTTCTTGTTTTCGACTTCATAGATAAATCTATCTGACAGAAAACATTCTCTGTCATATGAAGGTTTTTGTTTTATTTTGTATTGGACGGATCTATTTATTTTCTTTTTTCGATTGATCAATACTAATAATAAAAGTTGATAAACAATCATTAGTATTATCATTTGTATGATAGTGAGTTAAATGTAAACGTCGTTTTGTTGGAATTTGTAATAATGATGTTGAAAGTGATTCTTTTTTTACTGATTTTTTATTCTCATTCTTATTAAATATTGTTGATATTAAATTTTCTTCTGTATGACGATTTTTTTTCGATTATGCCGAGGAATTGTATTTGAACGATGATGACTAATAAATTTTCTTTCTTTATAATTAATATCATTTACTTTTGCATTAATTAATGATAAATTTTCTTCATTTTTATTTGAAATAATTTTTTCATCTAACTTCGTATTATCTTTTCGAGATGTTGAGCTTAATAATGATGATAATGAAGAATTATTTACTTTTTCAATTGATTTACCTTAAACAGTAAGATTTTGAATGATAAAACAAATTTATTTTAAGAAAAAATTCTATTGTAAAATAACTGATTATATTGATATACTATCGAAAATAATAATCAAATTCTTAACACATTGGGCACGATTCAGTTTTCGTATGAAATTTCTGCAAGATGTCATTTTTATGAATAGTTCACTTCTAATAAATGCACTTAATGACCCTTTCGTTATCTTCTACTGATTATTTATCGTTCTCTTTCTTGTATTACTACATAATGAATCATTTTTCGGGAGTAACTAGAATTGCCTGAGTCAATTTTTCGTTCTTTTTCATGTTA